AAAGATTAGAGTGCAGTGTGCAGTTATCAGAACAAGGTGAGAGACAACACACAGTCTAGCAAACACACCCTCCACTGATGAATAAATGCACACGTTAGTCATTACTGGTGGACTATACAGGCTAGATTTTCAACTGGAGTAAAAAAAAAAAAATCAGCATAGCTTCATCAGTGGAGCAACATCTGAGGAGGATTTGGCCCTGCATCCTAATTCCATACTCTGATGCCTCCTACAAAACCACAGGTAAAACGTCTCTGAGATCCCTACCAGGCCACCAACATGTCCATTCTTCTGACATAGGAATGCCTTAAAAAGAACAGGAGTACTTGTGGCACCTTAGAGACTAACAAATGTATTTGATGTCAAGTATCAGGGGGTAGCCGTGTTAGTCTGTATCTACAAAAACAACAAGGAGTCTGGTGGCACCTTAAAGACTAACAGATAGTCTTTAAGGTGCCACCAGACTCCTTGTTAAATTTATTTGAGCATAAGCTTTTCGCGGGCTACAGCCCACTTCATCAGATGCATAGAATGGAACATATAGTAAGGAGATACACATACACACACAAATACATCCAGAGAACATGAAACGGTGGGAGTTGCCCTACCAACTCTAAGAGGCTAATTAATTAAGATGAGCTATTATCAGCAGGAGAGAAAAAACTTTTGTAGTGATAATCAAGATAGGAGCTTGAAGAAAGATGTAGGCTAACAATTCCATCTTCTAACCACATAATTCTCTAAGGTTCCAAGAGAACTGCCTAAAATCAAGTGTCTGAAAGCAAGAAAACCAACTTGAGACAAAGACGGGGAAACAGACCATCAAGATCCCTAACAGGAAGGGGAAAAAAACCCTGTGATTTAAGAATTCAGGGACTTCTGCAAAAAAAATTCCTAGCCTAGACTTTAACACACAGCCCTTTGGATAATGATGGGATGTTCAGCTCAGTCATACTTCAGATGAAACAGAAACATTAAACCTACCACCATACTACATAAACATTGAGAACACCAATCAAGGAAGAGGCTAATTAAGAGCAAGGGGGAGGGATAGCTCAGTGGTTTGAGCATTGGCCTGCTAAACCCAGGGTTGTGAGTTCAACTCTTGAAGGGGCCATTTAGGGATCTGGGACAAAAATCTGTTTTGGGATTGGTCCAGCTTTGAGCAGGGGGTTGGACTAGATGACCTCCCGAGGTCCCTTTCAACCCTGATATTCTATGAAATCAAGGGAAGGCAAAGGAGAAGAAATGGATGAAGTACCTATTAGACATTTCACATCCCAGCACTTCCAACCATGTTTCTAACCCTTAGAGAAAGCTGCAACTCTTATTTATGGAGAATGCACTGCCACTAGGCTTGTGAAGGTTGTGCAATAAACTTTGCATGGGATTAAGGTCTCTCACGTAAGGGAAAATTAGTATTTTTTGAAACACTGACCTGCCATTTCCCCCTCCAGTCCTACTGAGGATGTCTACAGCTCAAGACGAGACAAGACAAGGGGAAGGGAATACAAGAAAGGATCCAAACTTGGCACAGAAGAGCGCTCTCTGATTTCACCTAAACACTGCTGAAAGCCAACTCCTCCCAAACCAGAGAGAAGCTATTGTAATTAATAGCTGGAGATATGGTCCTCAGATTCAGAAAAAGTCAAGGTCTCAAGAAGCTGAACACCAAATAAACTGGATGCTACTTGCCAGAGAGTCTCTTGCTGATGATCAGAAGTTTAGGATTCCCCTGGGAGAAAGATTTGTACTAATGATTACACCATCTATTACATCCAGACACTAAGACTACACACTGTCCCCCTCCCATACTCAAGACTTATCTAAGTTTAGTTTAATGAATTGCTGATAGAGACTCCCTAGGAATCAAAGAATTCTTCAGAAAAATTCTTCACCCAGACTATTGTAGGGAAAATTGCCTTTGTCAGGCACCTACCTGGATCTGCCACTGCTTTAAAGACATCTGGGTCACTGGGTAGCCGCAGTATATTTACTCACATGCTTTTCAAGTCTATTCTTCAGAAAGGGGGAGAGAGACCAGGAAGAAGGACTTACACTATAAAAGCCCAATAACTTGTGAACCAAAGTGGAAGGCTAGACATTTTTTGCAATCTACAGATGAGCAAACAAAGCATTAGATAAGTCTGTGAAACGAATTTCAACCTCTTGCAACATTCCTATATTTCAGATTCTCACAGCAGTGAAAGAAAGAAACATCAGAGAAAGACACAAAGATTAGTTCTCTAAAGTTACTGAACAGATTCCTAGCACACCACCACCAGAGACCAGCTACACATTCCTCAGAGAGATCTTGCCTAGACTGGCAAGAAGTGCCACGTAGCCTGGACGTTCCTGGTAGACTTATGGTTAAGTATCTCAGAGACTAAAAAATAAAATAAATAAACGTCAAAGGAAGTGTTTCCCACTTCATTGCCTAAAGTTTCAACACAGGCACTAAGTCTGATGGAGACATATGGAACCTCTGGCCCTTATGCAATTAAGAAAAAAAGTCTTTACATATATTTAATACCTCCTAAGCAGAGAGAGACTTAGAAAACAGCAGTATTCACTTTAGCCAGGGCTGCTCTACATGTCAGTAATTAAGAAGCTGCATTTCATAGGTTGCCAGTTACCAAGGTGCACAATAGTGGCTACTCTGCAGGGCTTATTGATCTTAGGGAAGCACCTAAAGCTTTCAAACGTGAAAGGCTATAGTACTACCTATGGTTCTATAAGGCATGTATATATGGCTGCTTGGGAAAGTTACTCTATTACGGGGGGAATCCAAAATCCTGATCGACCATCCAACTTCGAGGGACATGGGGAGAAAAATGAAAAGGGTATATTTACACTTTAACCGAAAAAAATCCCTATCAAGCTATTCTGCGCCAAATCTCCCAGTACAGTAACCGAGGAAAAGGTTGCCTATTGGAACAAAAATGGGTAGATAACACCGGCAAACATTCCCTTTTTACAGGTACAGAAGTTCTTTGACACAAAATTGGATGTGCATCAGACAGTAAGTAGACAAAAGTGTTCACCTTAAAGCTAGGGTTAACAATTCCCTTCACATTAGCAGGAGATGGAATTCTGGGAAACAAAAATTGAGTTTTTTTTTTAAATCCTGCACATCTACAAATATTTAAAAGAGATGTGTACCAGACTCTAGGAAGCCATAGACGGACTGACTGACGGCCTTTGATTTCACTACCTAATCCTTGAAAGTCTGAGAGACTGAAAGGCTGTAAAGATGTTTGGTTAAATAGAACACTGGGTCTTACACAGAGCAAATTCCTAACGCAACACTAGATTGAGTTCCATATGCTACAGAGTTCTAGAAGAGATTTCTCACACAGGAAGCTTAAGTACACATCAAACACTGATGGATGTGTTAAAATTCAAGCATCTAAACACAACAGAACTCCCACATTTCCAATTCCGCTATTCCACAACAGAGCCTCTTTGAAGGTAAATTTGAAGAGGGCTCAAGGAGAGACCACATTTATCCATAACACCACAAAAACAAACTCCCACTTGGCTCTGAGCAGGAGCCACTTCTGCTAAAGAGAACAATTCACCCCTATAATCTGAGTCAGATGAGTTGATTGGACAGATTCATGGAGACAGCATCAACAGTGCTACTAATCATGACACTCCACCGCTCAAATTCAGAGCGATTTCTTCAATGGCTACACTTTCCCTACATTGCAAGGCAGAAGATGGGTCATAAAGAAGGACTTGGAGCAAGAGAGAGAGTGTGTGGAAAGAAACGTGCTATTTAAAGATTCTCCACACCTCAGAACAAAATTAATCTTCAAAATCAGGGTCCAAAAGGAGCCAACACCAAAATAAATTTAACCCATTTTGTTATCAAAATTAGAGTCTGATCTGCATTTTGATGACATAACTTGCCCCTATGATCCATGGAACTGTTTAGAAGGGCTCACCACAGACCAAAAAACTGGATCCCACTGTTGAGAGCAAGAATAACTTCTGCTATGCACACAACTCGTTCTCCTTTGACCAATCCAACTGCAGTTTAGGGAGGAGCTTTAGTCTGGGTGCTAAAGGAAAAGAACTCCCATCTGGTTATAAGGGGAAATAATTTTTCCGTGAAATCAAACCGAATTCAACAGCTCAAACTCTTCTTTTGAGCCATAGGCATGGATCTGCTTGGTCAGCCCATTCCAGACCTTTAAAGGAGAAATTTATCAACCCTCCACACTAAATTGCTACATTCTAGGAAGTTTAAAACCAAGATAAAAGACATCTCGCTCAACAAGCTGCCAGACTGCTGTACCCAAAAATCTGATAAGTTTACAAACTATATAATAGTTCAAATGTTTAAAAACACATAGCAAACAGATTTGGAGTTAAGAGGTAACTACTGTCCCAGCTGCAGTGAAAGGAGCTATCTACAGCTGATCTTCCTAACTCCAGGTACTGAGTAACCTGTCTTATTCAAAATCTGTTCAGTCATGTTGGACCCAAGGTGCACAAATCAGCAACATAATAATCCTCTGAGACACAGGTAGTGGCTACAAGTCTACTAGACTATTAAAATACATGTAATACCGGGCTAAATTGGAATTGGAAAAAAAAAAAATGAACAAGCCACTGCACCCCTATATTTTAAAAAGGACAAAACCAGAGGCTGCCTAGTGATCAGTTCTCTTCGGCCACTGGAGACCTAACATAAAAACATAAGCATTCCAGAGTGCCAGTCAAATGAATATTTAGGCCAGCGCTTTCAGGGTTAAAAAAATAAAATAAAATAAAATAAAATAAAATAAAATAAAATAAAAAAGTTTACTCGGCTCCATTACCTTTTTAAGTTATATCTAATCTCCAGGGGAAAATCAGAAGCTACTGACTAACAGCAAGAAGCATAGGCAGCCTCTATACCTGCTTCCATCTGGAATACTTCAGTACTAGTGATCCTGGTGAGCTTCTGGTTACCCTCACACCAGTCACTTACAGACAGCCTCACCACTCACCGGCAGGCTGGAGGGCCTTGACTGAAGATTCAAGTTCATATCTTCTTGTCCTTTACTGGAAGCCATTGAGGGGGCAGATGATGCCTGGGACCCAAATGAGTCTTGAGATAACTCCTGAAACACAAAGAAAACAGAGAAGTGAAATATGGACTCCACAGCAATCGGCCTGGGAGTATTCCAACAATAAGGAGGCAACAGTTTATGTACCACTTGAGGGCATTTATCCAAAACAAAGAGGGAGACAAAATAGAGGAACTAAGTTAGCATCCCCTGCCTCCACACAGGATCAAGGCTGCTGATGGACAGCTAGGCCAAGTGTCTGTACTAGAAGGAATTTCAGCGCTAGGAGTCTAAAAAGACAGTGATTTTCCAGTTATTGCTCTATTTTTCACAATACAGACCACTTAAGAACCAAGATCTCTTGTAGGCACTTTCTCCTCCTACCTTCTATACCTTTCCTCTGGAAACTATGGTAATTAATTACATATATTAACAGAGCCGGTCCAAAAAAAACCAGGACAGTTTTCTGAGAAGTTCTGTCAAGATTTTTGATCTTTTTCCACAAAGATTGTGAATTTCAAAGGTTTTCAGACAACTCCATGCTTAATTATTAGAACATAAGGCAGAGGAAGATAATTTTACCTTTAACTTAACAGGCCTTGCTCTTTGATTAAAAACTCCATTTCATATTTGTGCTGGGTATTTCACTTCCCCACAAGTGTAGGGCTGTCTACATCCCCCGCTACTCTGACCTTTCCAGGTCACTTTGGGTCTATTCTTCATTTGCTTCCTCCCCCAAATTTGGGGCCATGTTTACATGGAAAAGTTTACATGGAAAAGCTTCACTCAAGCAACAAAGTAGCCACTCAGGGTGCAGAGACAGGCTTGTTACTTTCAGTGATAAAAAAAGGCTCCCAATGTCTTGGAGTCTTGCACTGGGCTACAAAAGCAGCAAGCAGCGTGATCTCTTGAAGACCTAGAAGTGCGTCATCACTATGATAAACACTAGAGCTCTGTGGACCACTCAGTGCCTTCAGTGGTCTCATTTCCACATCATAGCCGGAGGAGATACAGATCTCTGCAGGGCTAAGAGGGCGATACATTTATTAGTTTAATCCTAGGTAAGCAGGGGTTCGTTGGTTTTAAAATGAACGGAGAACTAAATTCTGCAAACTCTTGTAGTTGCCTACAGGAGATAGCGAGCAGTGGCGGTCCTACCTGTGGCGGTGGGAAGCGTTGCTGGGAGTACGCGGACTGCTGCTGTTGCTGCGGTTGTGACGGAGGGTACGAAGACGACTGCTGAGAAAGAGCAGAAGAGGCGGGTTGCGGCGTTTGTTGCTGCTGCTGGTAGGGCGACTGTGACGGCTGCTGGGAGTACGGAGGCTGACTCTGTTGATGTTGCTGGGCCGCGGGCTGCTGCTGGGGATACGGTGATGGGGACTGCTGATGAGGTGGTTGGGACTGCTGCTGGGAGTATGGAGGCTGGGATGACGGAAGCTGTGTAGGTTGAGACGGAGTCTGCTGCTGTTGATAAGAAGTTTGGGAGTGAGAGGTCTGGGATGGTGGTTGCTGAGAGTAGGGAGGCTGCTGTGGCTGGGAATGAGGACTTTGCTGGTTGTAATATGGAGTCTGGCTCTGCTGTCCATAGGCACTTGGGCCCTGCTGTCCATAAGGAGGAATCTACAAAAGGAGAGTACAATTATGCAAGTTAGAAACAGATTCCACGAACAACTAGAACATGTCTGAATCGGGAGTTTCTGCAGACATGACTCCCAGGCAGCTGGGTTGGGCAATTAACTGGAAAGGTAATGGAAACGCTGCTGTCTAGAGGAGTACGCCGCCAAGGAAACAGCGAAGCCAGTGGTGTGCCAGATTCCGTCTGGCAATAACAGATCTTTAATATGGACCCATAAGGACTTTGTTGTGATGTCTATTAGTCCATCCTCAAATGTAAGTAAATCACCACAAAGAGTGAAGTCTCACTGCAAAGGCAGCCTTTTGAATTCTGCAAGAGATCAGGAGATGATTGTATGAAGCAATAAGCCACCCCGACCTGAAGTTTACATTACTCTGAGGAGTAGTTACATCTCTATGCTAGTTTAAAGATTTGTGTCGATGCTGTTTTAATCCATTAACTGTTTCCCCTCCCGCCCCCCTTACACTTGTGATACTAAAGCTCTATTGTCACCTCTCTGGAAAGCAAGATCATCACAGATCCTTGTCCTTCACATAAGGATTCATCTGTTTAAGTCCAATCACATCACAACACACAGCCTAAACAACTAATGATATTTTCACCTCAATAACTGAGACTGGTACATAGCTGAATTTGTTGAAGACTGGTCCCGTTAGTACACACATTCATAAGCCATATTTAAAGAGTTCATTCATCGGCTTGTCAGAGAAGAATGGGTTGTGGTGAAGCATGAGAGGTGTTTTATTTTTTGCTCTACCTGCTGTGCATATGAGATGCTGCCCATTGCACTCTGCGTCCTGCCTTGAATTCCCATGGAATATCTCTGGGGAGTCTGTGGCCCATATGGCTGCCCTGGATATCCATGTCCTTGCTGTGGTCCCGACTGAGGTCCCTGCTGCTGTGTGTACGGGTTACTTCCTCCATATGGCTGAGGTCTCATCTTCCCCATCTGATCCATTGGGCTTGATGGCTGTGAAGAAAGTTATGACATGTATACAAACTGAATATATACCACATTTGCCTATACAATCCTTACTCCCATACAACGATAAAAGGAACTGGTCAGCAAGAAGGGGTGCAATAAAACCCAAGCTGCCCTGCATCTCCTCAACTAATGAGCTATCAGCTGACAAAACTGCAGTCCTGCTATAAAATACAGCATCACTCTCTGGAGGAGAAGCAAGCACACAGGGCCTACAGATACTCCCCACAGCACTAATCCAGCTGTGAGGAATCTTTTTACACTCTGCCATCTCCTCTGAGGCCTGGAGAAAGGAAGGAGAGAGAAGGGTCATTAGGGGAAAGGGAAGTCAGTTGATATATCCAACTAAAGAGCAGTCATTTCACATGAGAAGTGGAAGAGTCTTTTTCCATATCTGGGAATGGTTTAAGCAGCAAGTACACCACAAATAATTAAATTCAATGTAAAAAGTTGTGTTAATACAATGCTACAGCTGAAAATTTAAAACGCACAGAAGTCAAAATGTTATAGCTCCCACAGCAACCTCCTGGCACCGATAGTTTGTTGCATACCTCTACATGCGATTAATTTAGCCTTTTGTGCATTTAAATTCAGCCACACTACTGCATTAATCCAGACGTTTATTTCAGAGTGTGGTGCTACATGTGTACACACCAATGCATGTGTAAAGCTGCATTTCCACTTTTTAGCGTGTTCAACATGTTTCTTGTGTAATTTTTGAAACGTGTAACAATATAAAATGCCCTCAGCTTTTAGAGCCATGCCCATGGAAAGGATGGAGTTTTAGAACTAAGACTTTTTAAAAAACATGTTATCCAAGTACACGTGCACTCATGGCAGACATTGCAGGAAGAGGCTACTACCACCATTTCCCTTGACTGTAATTTTGACCAGAGTCAGTCCATCTTTGAATCCTCTCAGTTCCCCCAACCTCATCTGCTTCCACCTGATCAAGCTCAGGCCTCTGGTCACCATTGTCAGAGTCCTGTATAATTTACCCTTCCCTACCTATTGCCACCCCCTCCGCCAATGATGCCAGCTCCTCACATAAATATCAGTGTTTTAAACACCCAGCCATCACCATATGCTGCCTCCTAGGGCTTTTCTACATGACACTTATGTTGGTATAACTTATGTCACTCAGGGGTGTGAATAAGTCACCCCTGACTGACATAAGTTACAGTGACCTGAGCAACGGTGTGGACAGCACTGTGTTGGCGGAAGAGCTGCTCCTGCTGACATAGCTACCACTTCTCGGGGAGGTGGCTTTATTATGCTGACGGGAGCGCTCTCTCATCAGTATAGAGCATCTTCACCAGATGGACTACAGTGGCACAGCTGCATCGCTGTAACCCTTCTAGCGTAGACTAGCCCCTATGCACAGATCTCTCTTCCTTTGATCAACTGCAAGGCTAATGCCACTTTTCAAATCCCTTTTTAAGAGCCACTTCTGCCATGAGGCCCACAGGAAACCAGCTGACTGCTACTGATAAACTTGAAGAGTAATAGGGAATAGTTTATATATATATAGCCCTTAGAAAACAGGACTTTGTATTTCCAAACTGTGGTCACATCACCTACTCTGCTTGGCCAAGGTTAAGTACAGCACATAGCATGTCTCTTTAGATGGAGATTCTCTAGGTCGGTCTCTCTTTTGAGAGCAACTAGCATACTATGGGCACTACCAGAAATAAAAAGCAAGTTTGACAATTAAGTGCTTTATTTCTACAACACACCATTCTAAACTGAGGCCCTTTACATCAAAGTCTGTACGTGACAGAAGTGTAATGTCATCCCTAAGGAAATGAAAAAAAACTTAATACACATTTCAGATGCTTGTAATCCAAGCAGGCTAACTTGTCTCCTTTGGGGCTGCAGCATGCATCAGCAGCGATATAGCATGTGGCCCCTTCCTTCCAAATCTCCCATTACACACACAATCACCCCTTTCACAGATAAGGCTAGGGCAGTTAAAGCCCTAACAGACTTGCTCTGGTTTAAGAGTACAAAAAAAAAAAAAAAAAAAAAGTACCATCAGGGATTCTACTTGAATCCCTTTATTCAGTTTAACTCATGTGCTTCAAGAAAGGAACAGCCAAGATTGAAATGCAGTGATGGCCTATCAATCCAAAAGCTGATGAGAGAAGTTGGAGGGTGGCGGGCTATAGATCCCCTTGCACACTGATGTTATACAAGATGGAAAAGCCAAGAGGAAGTAATGCCTGTTCACTTGCAAGAACACTTCAGGATAAATAAGGAAATACCAAACCCTGACTGCAAAAGGCTGGAGATCCTTCTCTGGACTGACACATGGGAAATCCTTTCGACAGGAAACCACAGGAGTAGATTGCTTTTGACATGCAATCACAGTAAAGGCCACGGAGACATAATTGAGAGAAAAGTTTTGCTGCTTCTTGATCAGTGAAGTCCAGACCCTTTTCTTACACCCTCCTGCATTCACAGAAAGACACGATTACTTATTGTAACTGGAGGTTCTTCGAGATGTGTGGTCCCTATCTAGATTCCACACGCGCTGGAGCTGGAACAGTTCATAGTAGTGTCAATTGACACAGAGGGACCATCACTCGAAGAAGAGCCAAAAGAGAAACTAGAAGCGATCTCAGAATCTGTGTCAAGTTTTGGTACTTTGAGAGAGTTTTATACGACCGGACTAAAAGTTTGGTTATCAGCCAAATTTTCAAAAACAAAATTTGCTCTACTTCACTGTAGGCAAAAATAAGTGCATGATCCAAAGAGGATGGAGCTAGGCTGTTCTCAGTGGTGGAGGTCTAGGCTGGATATCAGGAAAAACTATTTCAATAGGAGGGTGGTAAAGCACTGGGATGGGTTACCTAGGGAGGCGTTGGAATCTCCATCCTTAGAGGTTTTTAAGGCCTGGTTTGACAAAGCCCTGGCTGGGATGATTTAGTTGGGGTTGGTCCTTCTTTGAACCGAGGGTTGGACTAGATGACCTCCTGAGGTCTTTTCCAACCCTAATCTTCTAGGATAAGCTCGTATTCTAAAGATCAAAACTGGTCTTTCTAAAAAATTAAAAAACAAAACTCACTCCTAGGCCAAGGACACCAAGTTTCAATCCAGAGCACGCTTACTGCCAAGCTCTACAAAACCCCCAAGTCAGGTTGTATAATGGAAAGTACAAGAGACCCTTACCTGAAGAAAGGCCACAGAAGGTACAGTTCCCCTACACACCCTCTGCTGGCTTTACTACAATGGTGAGACAATGACTTTACAAATGTAGAAATTATCCTAAGCGGGGTAACAGAACAGCATGTGCTGGTAAGAAGCGATGCTTTAATACACACAAGTAGAAGTGAACAGGGAAGACTCTTCTACAGCTTCAAAGCAGGTGCAAATGTTCAAAAAACCCACAATTCTGCCAGAAAACAAGCCATAATAAAGGAAGATCCCGTACCTTTCTAAAGGGTTAAGTGGAGTTAACTCATTTATGAGACCAACATGAAAAATATTTAAAGAGTCCTACTGTGAAAGTGGAGGCTACAGAGCAAAGAACAGAGTCTCCACTCCTTTCACTTTTATGACAGTCTATTACATCTCTCATTGTTTTGGTAGGGAAGGGTGGGGGCACAGAGAAAAGGGGGGGAAGAGTTTCTCACTAAAGTCTAATTTTGCAGCACTTGAATTGGCTTCACTCAGATATTGACCAGTGATGGGATAAGCCAGAAACAATTTTCTGGAATTACAAACCTCTCACCTTGGATCTGAATTTATTTCTGACCAGATTTGCTGTCCATGTTGGGGGGAGGGAGAATATGGAGGAGGCAGGGGAATCAAAAAAATAATAATAAAAAGCATCCCTGGCTGTTTAACCCAGAGAAGCCCTAATTGATTCCCACAGTAATTAACCTGCATTTTACCTCCAAGAGTGGTAGTTAAGGAAGTCGGCACTGCTATTTATAACTCATCTCAAATTGAGGGCAGACTGCCTAAAATCTAACACATCCCAGCTGTACTCCTGTTTGAACTGGGGCCAAGGGAATTTTTTAAAGCAATCTTGGCACTGAATGAATGACACCAACAGTATGAGAGAGCGTGTGGTTGTGTTGTGGTGACGTAGTAGCAGAGGTGGAATGGGAAAGGGGGGGGGGGGCAGTGTACTGTAATTCCTCTTCCATGCATGCTTTCACTTCACAGGCCCCAACCCTACGGTCCCTGTACAGTGAGCTGGGAACCGCCCATTAAGAACCAAGCACAGGAAATGTCTTTTCCTGTGGAACCTTGAAGTGAGAAGCACATGGCTAATCTGCATAAAAGCAAAGCCACACCGCCCCTGCCAGGAAGGTTAGTGCTCATAATCTCTGGCCATGAGGCTGGCTGCCTGTGAGGACTTGGATCTGTGCCTGATAACCCAGAAAGAGCGGAGAGAACAGATGGGTAAGGACCCCGGCAGAAAACAGCACAAGGTCACGTGACTCACCACATGGCCCTGCAAGCACAAACTATTGTTTGGCTGCTGTGCTCCTGTACAAAGACAGTAAATCCATTTCCTGCAAATTCAGGGAGAAGCAGCAGCTGGCTACTGCTGCTTCTCCTATTGGATTCTACCATACCCAAGCTAGTCAGAGGACAGGGACCACTGAGCTCTGGGACCTGCAAGCCACCAAACAGAGAAAAGCTCTCACTAGCAAAACACCCATTAACATTGTTTTTGCAAGCTCACAGATGCAGCTTCCATCAACTCCCCACAGCTGAACCCAGATGGGATCTTACAGAACTGAAGAAGATAAATTTGATTTCGGCTCAGGAGATTGTCCCCTTTTCCCCTGTGTTGCACTCATTACACTACCCAGGCACAAAGGCATAACCAGCCTCAGTTACTGGCGAAACTAGAAAGCAGGCTGTTTGATGTTCGCTCCTTCGGTGCTGAATTAATACTGGAGAGTAATAAGGAGACTACACCTCTCCACTAGGAAGCCTGTCAACCAGCTTCTTCATTTCTACAGAGGGGG